CGCTCCCATTCCCAAAAGCAGTTTGGCCCCGCTTCCATTTCGCTCCCAATTCAATCCGGAGTCGCTTCCAGTTCAGTCCGGATTCGCGGGAGACCTTCCACGTTCTTGGAACAGCTTTGTTTCGAGCCACCCCCACCCTCACCCCCACCCCCTTCTTATCGGAGCACAAACGGCGGGGTCATTTTTTTAATCATCCTTCCCTTACCCTAACCCTAACCCTTCCCTGGGGTTCACCTACTCTCGTGCAAAGGGCTGAAAGGTGTTTTTTTCCCCCTCCCCTTCCAAGCCATCCTTCTCAATGCTTGACATTTTCGGGAGGGGGTTTCCATCAGTGTTTCATCCCAGAAATGTGGCTTCTCTTGTGCAACAAGCCGTGGGGTCTGTGGAACTCACCACCACAAGACTCAGGGGGTGGGGGCAACCCTTCTAGACTCTTAAAGGAGAGATTCCACTTTTCTTGGGACTATTTATCTGTAATACCTTTTTTAAAATAGCCTTGCAGGTGTACGAGGTTGAAAGATGTGACGCAAGGAAAAAAGGATGAGGAGGGCAGAGGAAAGGAAAAACTACCCCCCAAACTCTTCCTCCCAGCCCTGCTCGCTTGCTCACTGTCCCCACGTTCTTTTGAGGGGGGGCTCTACATTCTGCTCCCCCTTTTCTTCTTTTTGGGGGTGCCTGTCTCTCAGGTGGGAGGGAGGGGGGTGCAGCTGGACCGGTCAGTGATGGCCTTCCCTGCCTGTTCCCGCTTCCCGTGTCTGTCCAGAAAAGGCCCGAGGGAAATACGCGGCCCTCTCCTTCGCCACCATGGCGATCGTGGTGGGGCTTCCGCTCTGGTGGAAGACGACGGAGACCTACCGAGCGTCCCTGCCTTATTCCGAGATCGCCGGGATGGACGTGCTGCAGGTGAGCGGGGGCGGGGGCAAAGGGGGGGAGAAACTCACCTGCCTCTTTCCCCTTCCACCCCACCTCCCTCGTAGTCATAATGTCGCCTCTGGGGAACACCCAAAATTGTGCCTCCGGAGGTTCTTGGACTACACCTCCCATAAGCCTGAGCCTTTCCTGGGCTTCGGTCAAGACTGCTGGTGTTGGTAGTCCAGCTACCTCTGGAGTCCGAGGTTTGGAATCCCCGGCTGGGCTGGCGATCCAAAGCATCTGGGTCTCTCCAGAGGTTTTTTTGTGTGTTGGAGGAGACGGTTAGAGACATTTACGGAAAACAGGGCTTCCAGTAGCCACTTGTGTTTATTGGAAAACTTCCGGCGCTACGTCGGCATGGAGGCGGAAGGTGTCCGGGACCATCAGAAGCGGGCGGCCGGCGGGTGGTGGTTCTTGGCGCCGTGAGTTCAACAGCCTTGTGCTTCAGTTCCAGCTGACGGTGCCCGTCTCGGTCGTGTTTGCCCAGGGGGTGCTTTTCGGGGCTCAGGAACGCAAGCTCCCCTTCAAACGCGTGCAGGAGGTGGAGATTCCCTTGAACGGTGAGTTTGGAGAGAAGCGGTTCTGCATCCCTGGGGGGGAGGGTTGGGGAAACTGACCCTGTAAGTATGGGCCTCCGCCCCACTCCCAACCCCTTGCCTTGGTGTGAACTGCCAGCTCGGGCTGATGTACTTTCAGAGCAAAAATAAATGAATAAATATATTCTTGGATCACAAATCCCACAATCCTCTGGTTAGAGGATTATGGAAGTTGTACAGTAGTGCCCCAATGTGCTTCTTCCCCCCCCTCCCAAAGTCTGTTCTCTTTTCAGTGATGTGGTGGCTTTTTCTGCAGGCAGACAATGTGGCTTTCCCCACCTCCTCTTGATCCTGGTCGCAGCCACCCTTGTAAAGTAGGATAGGCCACACGGCTGAAAGGGGATTTCAACCCAGATCTTCTGGCTTCTAGTCCAACCTCTGCACCCCATAATTTCTCAGTGGGTTCTGCATTTAGAGCTCAGGCATCTTCTTAAGAGGTTTTCTTATCTTTTTTACCTTCCTGCCTCCCATTCTTTGAGGACCTGGATCCAAAAGGGCTCCGCAGAAAATTAAAACAGGTCTAGAAATAGGTCACAAGCAGGGGAAACAAAAAGGCCTGCATGGGGGGGGGGGCAGCCGTGTTCAAACCGAGGCTGAGGAGCCGTGACATGAAGATGCTCTTCAACTGGAAAGCATTCAGAGCTGTTTAAAAACTCCCTCTGGGGCAGATTTCCTTCATGATCCATCATAAGCAGAGTCAAAAATGTGGGGGTTCCAGAAGCTGCCCCCCCCAGTTGAGTTTGGCTAAAGTCCCAGAGGTTGACGGGAGGCAGTATCTCCAGGGACCCCCCCCCTTTGCATTTCTCATTTGTCCTCTGCCTCAATCCCAGCCAAGACCAGCGTGACCTCCCGCTATGAGGTGTCCTACCGCCGGGCGATTCCTCAAGAGGAGGCGATCCTGTCCCAGGCGTCGCTCCGTGGTAAGGGCTCCGAGAGGGCATACACAGTGGGTTGATTCGGGCGCATCGAGGGACGATGATGCTTCCAGCATGGTTTTAACATTGCCGCGTGTGGTTGGCGGGTTGTGGGGTGGAGATGCATCCGGTCATCTTGTAACCATTGCAGCAGGTCTGCAAAGCGAAAACTATCAACCCCCCCTCCCTGGATGCTGAAAACCGTGGATAATAGCAGACATGATCCATATCAGGGTCAAAGAAAAAGAAAATCAAGAAGAAAGTCCTGTATTTTCCATCTGGCTTAAGACCCGGTCCTGTATCTGAGATATTGGGGAGGTGAATCCTTTCCCCGTGGCCAAACCTGGCCCCCTCAGCCCCTGATCTGGCCCTTCCAGGTAGCCAAACCCACTTTCCCTTGATGCCGTCCTTGGGTCATTTCTAAACCCATGGACTTTTCCCTCTTTCTTTCCTTCCAGATGCAGATGCCAGACTCCAGCCAGCCCAGGCCACCCCTGCCGGCTCCATCACCGTCTATGTGGTCCCACCTACGTCTCACCTCCTGCCACAGGTATTTTGGCACTTAACATTCTCTGCTCTGCTCTGGGGGCATCATAGCAAGGTGGATTGAAAAAAACAGTGGCTAGAAAACTGAAAAATTGGCTTAAAAATCAAAGCCAAACAGGATTTAAAAGATTGTTTTAAAATTCTAGGCTTTTGGGGTATGCGTGTGTGTTCTGGTATCGCTCTCATACAGAGCGGCTCTGCTCCGTTTTCTGCGTCATGTTTTAATCTTTGTCCAAAATCCTAAGCTTCCTCAGGACTAAGTTACGTTATTTGGTGCTCTAAGAAAGCCCAGGCTATGCGCATTCCTTGTTAGTGAGACTCGCAGCTAGGAAAGAAATTACATTTTTGAATGTGAACAAGTCACCAAACCTATCATATCATCCAGTCAAGATGCTTGTTAGGAATTAAATGGACAGGCCACCTGGGCGTGCAAAGTTGTCCCCTCGGAGGCGCAGGTGGGGCTGAAGTAAGGTTGCTGTCAAACCTGAATTAAAAGCCGGTTTATCAAATCTGTTTTTTGTGGGGTCTGGATCTCATCTACGTTTTTGAATGTGAACAAGTCACCAAACCTATCATATCATCCAGTCAAGATGCTTGTTAGGAATTAAATGGACAGGCCACCTGGGCGTGCAAAGTTGTCCCCTCGGAGGCGCAGGTGGGGCTGAAGTAAGGTTGCTGTCAAACCTGAATTAAAAGCCGGTTTATCAAATCTGTTTTTTGTGGGGTCTGGATCTCATCTACGGAGTTCTAGAACAGCATACATTGATTTTTGCTGTTTTAGACCCCCCCCCCCATTCCTGGATGTTTTGATCTAGAAGCGGGGCAGAAATATTTTAAGAAAATCAAGAGACTGGAGTCGCAGTTCAGTGAGTCACTTAGCAGCCCCTCCTGTCTCTCTTTTCTTTCTTTCTTTTTTTGCAGGAGGTGAAGGTGTACCTCGGCCAGCGACGCAGCGCCATCCTGAAGGCCCCTCAGGGGGCGGACGATGTGCTGGCAGCCGTGGACGCCAGCGTGCAGGAGGTGGCGCACTCCATGTCCTTCACGCCAGAGTCCATCGGGGAAGCCCTGGCAGACCGCGTTCCCATCATCCAGCCGGGAGCTGAGTGGAAGCGCCCCTTCAAGTCCAGTCTGGGTAGGGAAAGAGCAAGGAACCTGGCCAGGAGGCCCAGGAGGGGCCTGGCGCCACTTGGAGAAAGGGTTCAGGTGCAGCATTAAGCAAGGGGTGGGGAGAAAGCAATATGAGGGGTGGCATTTATACCTCTGTGAGGCATGCAAAGCACCGCTCAGCTGTGAGCACCTCTGCTGTGTAATAATTCCTGAGTGCAACAGCTTTCCCTTTCTTAAAGGAGAGCTCAGCTCCGTGCCTACAAAAGCATAGCTGAGTTCCATGAAACACTTTTCCTGCCTGCAAAGCACAGCTGAGCTCCCTGCAAAAACCTGGAGATGCAAAGCGCAGCTGAGTTCTCAGAGGGAGTCCTGAAAGAAGGCCCGTTAGAAAAGCCGCTGCCTCCTCTTTCTGCTCGTACCCCCTTCTTCCTTCAGGGTATGAGGTCACCTTCAGCTTGCTGAACCCAGACCCGAAATCCCACAGCGTCCACTGGGACATCGAGGGAGCCGTCCGGCGCTACGTGAAGCCGCTCCTCCACAAGCTGAGCTCGGTGGCTGAATTCTCCGTGGACTCCCAGGTGGGCGTTGGACCCGAGGGACCCGGGCGGCCGCTTCCGAGCGGCGGTGGAGACGCCTCCTCCTCCTCCTCCCGCTGGCCATGCTGAGTGTCCTTTTCTCTGGCCCCAGATCCTCTACTATGCAGCGCTGGGGGTTACGCCCCGCTTTGACCCCACCTCCTCCAGCTACAGACTGAGCATCCACAGCCTCCCGCATGTCATCAACCCCGTGGAAGCCCGGCTCGGTAAGTTGTCGGGGGCCTGGTCAGTGACCCCCCCCTTCTGCCTTACGCCCTGAGATCTCAGGGGAGAGAAACAAGGAGGCATTGTTCGAAAAGGGCTTTGAAAGAAATCCCAAGCTGTTCAAAACGGCACGCTCGTAACACACACCACCCACAATGGGGTCACGTCTTAGACCCCTCACCCTGTCCCTCCACAACCGGGTGGCAAGTGATCTTTCCATTTGAGGCTGGAGACGTGTCGCTCTCTGTGCCGTCAGGGCCCCTGAAGATCTGCTCGTTTCTATATGATGTAACTTGGCTTAATTGCTTGAGCTGCCTATGCCTTCTTTGCTCTGCTTGACCCCTTCCTGAGACGCGACAAGGGTCAGTCGGGGGGGGGCACTGTGATCTCACCTTTGAGCAGGTGCTCCCTCCGTAATTCAAGGACAGCTTTTCTCCCAGAGAAGGGGAGAAAAGTTACATTTTTTTAGTACGTCTTCCTGTCTCCTGGAGCTCGCCTGCCTCCCGCTTCTTTCTGGGCCTGGAAGAGAGACAGACTGGCTTCCACGCCGGTGCTGGCCCCCCCCCCCCGGGTGCCTAATAGAGCCGTCGGTTTCTCCCCACGCAGGTTCCAGCACTGCCTCTCTTTACCCCGTCATCAACTTCCTGCTCTACGTCCCGGAGCGCCTGCACTCGCCTCTTTACATCCAGGACAAGGAGGGGGCCGCCGTCCCTACCAACGCTTTCCACAGTCCCCGGTGGGGCGGGATCCTGGTGAG